AAGGCTTAAGCTAATATTTGCCGGGGATATGATACCCCAACGCAATCGTGATCAAGCCAATCTCCCAGTCCCACAGGAGGTAAAGAGAGTCGCTGTAGGCCAACCGGATAGGATGCCGCCAAGCTCGCCATGTGATCCGCTGCGAAATTCGCTTCTCTATGAACATGTTGGAGGCAGACACACCATTCTCTTTGGATTAGTTCTTTAATGGCTCTAACCATGGCCTCATGATTTCCGTAAAAACCATCCGCTTTGGAGACCATGTTCTTGACACATTGACTATCAATCTCAACGATAACTCGTCGAAGCCCCCGATCCCACGCCAATAGCAAACCCTGAAAAAGTCCCCAAAGCTCGGCTCCCGTGATAGTACAGGATCCAATATTCATAAGAAAGCCCTCAACCCATCGTCCCGTCTCATCTCGAATCAAACCGCCGGCACTACTCAGGCCCGTGAGCTTGTTAAATGCGCCATCCGTGTTCACTTTGACCCAGCCCGCCGCCGGAGGGGTCCACCGAATCATACGAGTCACGTAGGCTGCAACCCCAACCCGCGTGAAAGCCGTGGCCGCTCGTGCGTAATTTTCTGTAATTCGTAAAATCTCCATTTTTCTAGCCTCGCTACTAGCAAGCTTATTTTTAAAAATCCTCTCGTTTCGCCACGTCCACATGCGCCAAACAGTTACCGCGAATATGCTACACCAATTATTAACATGTCCCAGCCTGATTTTCAATAAATTTTGGCGAAACCAAGCTTTGAGAGGTTGTTGGAAGAAGTCACCTACGGTTCCAGCAGCTGGTAACAAAAGCTTCCAAACCTCCTTCGCCAATGAGCAGTCTCGCAAAACGTGGATTACCGATTCCTCCTCACCGCAATACTCACACGCAGTTGATGTCGAGATGTGGCGCCGACCACGTTCCAATTTAGTAAGAAGACGATCTTTAGCAGCCAGCCACAAAAAGGTTCGGGCCCGTTGCGGGACCTGGGCCCGCCAAATGGTCCTCCATAGTTGATAATCCGGATCCCTCTCAGAATTCGAAATCGCTTGATAGGCTGATTTCGTTGAAAATCGGCCATCCTCGGAGAATCCCCATATAATACGGTCTTCGGCAGCCGTCTCTTTCGGAGGAAGTGTCCCCGCTATGCGCAATACCACAGAAGAAGGTAAAACCCCATGGATACATTCCCATCGCCAGTTCCCTCGAGTATCCACTAGCTCAGCGGCCGTTGAAAAAATGTTTACTATATGCGTGTGGTCCGTCACAAACCGAACCAGCGGCCCTTCCATGCCAAGCCATGAATCGAGCCAAAAACGTACCTTTTCGCCGTTGCTAAAAAATAAGATGAGTGCTAAAAATTGATGAAAATTGAGATAAGGGACACGTTTAGTTAAGATTTCATTAATTATATTATCATTATATTTAATAAATAATTTTAGTTCATCATTGTTCATTACGCAAACAAATACATAAACTCAAAAATGGGCTCAAAGTTATTAACTTGAAAAAATAAAAAATTATCATGAATGGGATAAATCTTTAGTAAGATAAAACAAGGAAATAAGATTTTTATACACTGAAGATAAATTTGGTAATGAAAGAAAGATTGATTGGAGACAATAATGTATGGTGAAAAAATTGTTTATGACATTTTTTAAGATAATTTTGTTTCCAAATTTTTTACCCGAACCTAAATACAAAGCATAATATTGTGACATGTAGGATTCCAAAGCGTGCGATCCTGCCACTTAGACTCAGCATGTCTTGAATTAATATATAGGGAGGATTAATTAAAAATTAGAAAAATTAACCATTGATATTTCTTAGTTTAAAACGAATTATTAATTTACTTATTAATTATTTTACTCAATTATTTATCTTTTATTATGTCACTATTTTTATGTCCTATTATAATTAATTATTACCTTTTACATGGTAAAATATTGTTATTTTCTTCATTCAAATTTTATTTAATTAATTTAATTTTACTATTTTTCTTAAATACAATATAAAATTTTATTTACTTAACTAATTTGAGTATTTTTTTTAATATACAATATAAATAAAATTATAGGAAAATTAAAGTTATGGGAAAAATTAAGTAAGATTTTTGTTGGCATCGATTTACCGTATTCTATTATGGGAAAAATTAAGTAAGATAAGATTTGAGTTTTCATATTTATTTGAGCGCTAAAAGATTTTTCATGTTTGTTAAGTAAGATAAAAGTTGAGTTTTCATATTTGTTTGAGCGGGTAAATCAATGTGAACAAATAGGAGTCATAATAAGATTTTGAGAAAATTACCAGACGGTCATGAAATGTGTTTTTTCTATGGACGATCAAATGTTTCTATTTATTAAACATATATTTTTTCCTTAAATGTTTTTTCTGTGGACGATCAAATGTTTCTATTTATTAAACATACATTTTTTCCTTTTTGAGATTTCAGATCATGATTTCATCTTTATTTTTTTCTTTTTATTAAATTTACTTATCACAATTTTTTTTCCCCTATTTGTTTCTGCAGGACGAATAAAAAAATAATAGAAGCAGTAAGATTTAAGATTATTCATATTCCCTGAAACCTAAACTCTCGGAGAAGGTGTGTTGTTATATATACATGTCTAAGTCTGCTGAATAGTAAAATAATTTTGGCTGAAACTTTCTAGAGGTCGACTTTGGTTTGATCTATTCTAAATTTAGATTTAGGATTTTTCATATCACAATTTTTTAAAGTTTGTATTTGATTTTTTTTGGTTGGGAAAAATAGATAAAAGACGGTAATATCAAATTATTTAAGATTTATTTTTATAAGAGTAGTGATTTGTAAATTGACCATTAAGATTAAATTTATCTATTGTATAGTTTTTAGTATTCTTAAAGATATATATAATTTAAAAAATTTCTACAAGTCTTTTAATTGTGTAGAGTTTTGTTACACTGTGATTGTTCTTAATTGATACACATACACCAAGTCACCAATAGAGCCTTTGTCATTGTTCCAACTCTTATTGGTGTATGTGTATCAATTAAGAACAATCTAAAATTGTCAAAAAGGGGACATTAAATCTGGACGAGCTAGATTTAGTTCTTGAAAATCGTAGATAAAAATAGGTAGTTTTGGCTTTAGGGAGAATTCCGAACTTAATAGGATGTTTGGATATAAATTATTTTAATTTGTTTGGATTTTTTGGTTTAGTTTGTTTAATTTTGAAAAATGCGATATGGTTAGTTGTTAGTGAGTATATTAAAATAATATTTAAAATAAAATAATTAAAGTTGATTTGATGTAAAAGTATGAGAGAGAAATTTGAAGTGATGGTTAGTCAAAATTATGGGGGAAATTCCATTAGAAGGCTCAAATTTTTTACATTGTATCAATTTAAGGTTTGAATTTTATTCTTTTTAAATAGAAAACCTATATTTTAGGTTATTCTCAATTTAAGACTCACTTTTTAGTTAACTTTCTATTGTAAGTCCCAATTAACTTTATATTTTGATATAAATATGTGAACCAATTAACTTTATTTTATAATATAGTTATGTGAACAAAAATAATTTTTTATTTAGTTTATATTTTACATACTTATAATAAATATCTTTAGTAATATTTACTTAATAATAAAGCGAAACTATATAAAATATATTTATGCAAAAGTTTAATCATGAATAATTTAAAAAAATGATAAGTGAATTAAAAAATATGAAATATTATTTTTATTTATAATATAAATATGTAATAAAATTGAAAATAATATATAAATGCAATCTACAGAAATATATCATTTTCAACAAGTAATGACATAGTATCAACTTTTGCTTCCAAAAAGAAGAGTTAAAATTAATTTTTATTAATATAATTTATTTATAAGTATGCAAAATATAAATTACAAAATAATAATAATACTTTTATTCACATAATAGTTGTTTTATATATTTATATGAAAAGGTAAAGTTAGTTGGGCCTTATAATGGAAAGTTAACTAAAATGTAAGCCTTAAAGTGAGAATAACATAAAATATAAGTCTTCTATTGAAAAAGTACAAAATTCAGGCCTTAGATTACTACAATTACTAAAAGTTAGGCCTTCCAATAGAATTTTTCCTAAAATTATGTGAGTGGATGAATAGTGAATTAAAGTTGATGTGATATGTAAGAATGATTGGTTGATATTATTTAATTATATTAATAATATTAATGATAGTTGAGTTGAGTTAAAGTTGAGTTAAAAAAAGTGATTGAGTTAAAAATGTTTGGATTTTTTGGATAAATTTTGTATCCAATACAAAACTTCGAAGTCAAAATCTGCTGTCAGAATGCAATCCTTACCACATATAATATTTTAATATATGAGTTTTGATTGAGNAAGAGGTACTCTTAAAAATCATGCATATTTACGGTACTTAATGTCATAATTGTTGTTTTGTAGTGGTATAACATTTCAATTGAAAAGAATGAATATTTGTTCAAAAGATATGAATGAATATTTGTTCAAAAGATATGTTACCCAACTGTTACTTACAGAAAAATATTATAGTCCTCACTTTATTATTAACTAAAATAAATTCTCCAATTATACAAAATTATAGTCCTCACTTTATTATTAACTAAAGTAAATTCTCCAAATTGTGAGTAAGGCATTGTAAATATGGGAATAAACTCTATAAATAAACTATATATTTACCAGAACCTATTGTATTGCCATCTGAAAAACTCATTACTGCCTTGTAAGTGTGCTAATGAAAGATACAAAAATGAAGAACCTAACATTTTCCCACATTTTTTCTTATATATGAAATTACATTTCCCAACAAATGAGAAGTATCAGTCCATTCACTGACTACTATGAACAGAATTGAACAATACCAAGAGCTCACTTATGGTCACTTAAGTATTAGCCTTTAGTTCTCCAAATGATCCTATAGATCAAACCATGTGCAAGTTTGCAAAACCAGAAAAAATAAATAAATAAAAAAAGAATAAAAAAAAATAAAAAAAATCTCCTTATAGCATATCATATTCAGATAAACAACTCATTCCAACTACATGGTGCATTGTAACAACTTCAGTAATAGGGATAAAAACACAGTACGGCATGAAAGGATAAAGGCAACATCAAATTATAGTTCTAAAGCAAACAAGCATTGGACAGGAATCAAACGTTTGTCATCACATGGCAGAGCATTTATCATGTACAGATACAGTTTGCGTTAACCTTGAAAAATACTTTAATAGCTTTTATGGATCGGCTTTTCCAGCAACTTCCTCGTCACTGGAAGCACTTTCATCCTCAGTTAGTTCCTCATCGCTCGATTTTTCATCTGCCCCAACCCCTGCATCCTCAGGTTTCGCATATTTTTCGCAATACTCTGAGAAAAAAATATGGTGATTTGCCATCAAAATAAACACATTCAAAACAATGTCATCATTACTTTAACTGAATTCATCAGGATCTTCCTAATCCACTGCCAATATAGTCTGAGTTACAAGATAAAATAAATATTAACCTGATAAGGAAGAAAAATGTTTCTTAGACTAGATAATCCCATTTTGATATAACTATTAGACTATGTTTGGTAACGAAATAAGCTAGCTTATAGTTTGTTTGGTTAGCTTATAAGCTTCCTGTATTCAAATAAGTTTCGTTTAGTAGGACGAGCTTTTTTAAAAAGCTCGAGCTTATCTCATAAACTTTTTTTTTTTGAAGCTTTTCAAATAAGCTCGTTGAAATTTTTATTTCGCTAGCTTATCAACTAATTTATCAACCACTTTTATCATATATGCTAACTTTTCAGCCATAAGTCATAAGCTATAAGCTAGCTTACCAACTATCAGCTAGTTTTACCAAACATAGCCTTAGATTGCTCAAAGATTAAATGAATCAGAATGAGTTATTCTCCTAATTTGTTTGACTGCTTTAAATAAAACAATTTTTGGATATGGATAAATAATAAGTTTGTGTTAAAAATTCAATCATAGAACCAAGGACTCAACGTGATCCATCTGATGCTTTAATATTATTCGTATCATGCATACATGTTCAGAAAGAACTAATAAAGACTTATTTTCAGCCAGCAGCCACCTTAAGAATCTTGATAGAGGAAAAGGAACGAAATAGACATGGACCACAAACACAAAACTAGAATGTGAAGGCAAGTCATTAATCAATTTCAACAAAAGTATCAATTAAAGAAGGAATAATAATAATAATAACTGATGTGAACATTATGCAAGCAAATATGCCTATTAGCTCATTTTTGTGTACATTTTTGTGTACTTCAACGACCTATTAGCTCAAAAACAGCCATTTATAGAAACTCACTGTCCTACCATCCTCTAAAGTTATTGATTAGTTCTAGTGTTAACCGCTGGACTTTGGTTTTAACTGAAAGTTTGAAACAGATAAGAAACAATGTACCTGAGTTCCACAGTGAAGATTCATCAACTTCACACTTGTGACATTTATAAATAGCTCAATGTCTTGGTTACTTAACGTGGATTTCCGATAACATTACTAAAAGTAAAAAACTACATACCAAAAGAATTTTTACAGGTCCACTATTATTTAAAAAAGGGAAAACGGAATATCTATAATCTCTGAATTTTTTGGATAACCAGACAATGACTAATGTTCTACCAAATCAGCTAGTACTACAGTGCAGCTTCACTTAATTTATGAACAAAACTAATTACTAATATCAGGCTATAGTGAAACTCAATTTGTCATATCAGTTTTTCAGCCACAAATCAGAGTTATAAGGCGATAAACACTACAAGACAACAACTAAACCTTGTTTTTGCCGTAAGATACCTTTATCCGAACCAAATTATAGGTCTGATAATTGTTGAATGACAATATCTAGCCTCTATTCTGACCATCAGAAGGGCTAAATCGGAAACGCCAAACCTAAATTTCTAACACTCATGCTGTAAAAACATGATAAACCACATGGGTCTTTAGCCCACAAAAATAACACCTTTTGAACGAAACATAAGTTCAAAAGCAAAACTTTTAAGCGAAAAGATAAAAGGTTCTAAGTTGACGGGCATTAGAAGAATCTGTATCAGCATAATTTTTCTTAATATCTGTTGTGTTGTTAATTGGAGTAATTTTGTGCAAAGATGCCCAGATAGTTGTATACTTTCCACTACTTATTCTCCTCAGGCGTGGTACTTCAGAAGAAGCACTAGTAAGCTCATAGCCATATTATGCACTTTTTCGTGGTTCAACACCCATGTACATTTTTAATGCTT